CTCTCCTCTCTCTCTCTCTCTCTCTCTCTCTCTCTCTTTCTCTCTCGTTCGCTCTGCGTCTCTCTCGCAACGAACCGTTTCTATATGATCCCTCTCTGCGCCGTGACTGCCCCCGATCGTCCGGTTGCCGCTCTATCCGATCCCCGTAGCCCGTCTCTCCAACAGCTCCGCCACCCCCTCGTCCCTGTCGGGTGATTGGTACGCGACCGCAGCCACCCCCGCTTTTTAATACACCCGCACCTGCATAGGCTGCACCCGCAACCGGTGAGCCGCCACCATATATATATGCGACGAGGTGCATCCAACCCCTTTGCGCGAGCGGTACCTCCCCCTCGTCCCCTTTCTGGCCGGTTTCGGCATGAAACTCGTGGCCCTCGTCTCCCTCGCGCCAACGCGCCGCGTCAACGTCACGGTGTACTGAGTGATTCATCGATCGAACGTATTCGCGTCGTCCCTGCATCCATTCCCCAAAATAGCAACAAAGACTAGTCCTCTCATGGCGCATAGTTCGTGCACGGGCTCGCGACACTAAAACCGCCGCCAACAAGTCGCCGGACATACGAAAATGCATTTCAGGACAGCTCGCGGTTGGCTCGGCTGATTCTTTCCATCGCAATAACGAACGGAGCTTTATGTGTCCTTCACAAATCCTGACAGCTTTTTGAACACAGAGAAAGACTATTGTTTAACACTAAATTAATCGAAAAATTCGATTTTTTCTCCCAAGTCGTTGCAGTCACACACGATTATTTATATTTTTATATTCCCTGCTGAATGTTTTAATTTAAAAATTTATAAAAATGTAAACTACAAACACATCGTTATCATTTACATTTCTTTCCTGCTAGTAATAAATATCAGTATAAGAAGCTTAACGCAGAGTTGCATACGATATCAAAATTAACTACGCCCGTAAAGGACGAGTGCGGAAAAAAGAAGAGATAAGAATAGACTCGGACATATCAATGAAAAAGAAAGAAAAAGAAATACGCAATCGCGGATAGAATAAGAAAGGCAGATCGCTTAAGCGACGCTCGTTTACCCCTTTCCCATCACGGCGAAGAATCGGTGAGGCCGCGGAAGGTGTTGAAGCCCGGAGAAAAATATCTCAGCCGTAAATAAATTATAGGAGCCGAAAAAAGTTTCCCAGCACGCCGGCAACCCGCCGCTGCCCCGAGTTCCGGATAGCGCGACGCTCGCTAGGAGAAGGTCGGAGGTGTACTTTAATACTTTTTGTCCTTCCAAGCTGCCACCGGCCCCGCCCGACCCTCCGCCTTTTCCGTTAGGAGAGGGTGTTCTTTTTTTATTTTTTCACTACCCTCTCTCGCCAGCCGAGCACTTTAGATAATAAGGCCAGGGCGCTCGGTACGGACGAAAGGGTAAATTGGGTATTCGTCCGAGGAATTATCTCTCTAATTTCTTTAACGTACCAGTCTCTCACCTTCCGTTCCTCTTATGTACGTATAATTTCCATCGCACCGCGCGCGCAACCGTCCCCCCTTGCCACCCACTTACCAGCAGATTGGGCCCCCATCAGCGGATACCAGAGCCTCTTCACGCTTCCTGAAGATGAAAGCTCCCAGCTACCTGGCAGGAAGATTGAAAGATGTCCGACCCGCCTGACGTAATTATTTCGTCGATTCTTTTGATGCGGTTTGTCCATTCGACTCGCCGCAACCTCGCATAATTGTACCGTCGTCTTTTTCCGATATTCAAGAATTAGTTGCTAGATAAGTGTATTTAATTGGATTCAGATAAATCAGTTATGTGAAAATTAAAAATCATAGTCTTTCTAATTGCATATAAAATCGACGTGTGTATATTTATATCAAATTATGCTCCATCAAAATTAACGGTTGAATATTTCTCACAAATGGACAAAACTATCCGCAAACTAAGACGCTTCGGCTTGTGGAACAAAACCATTACAAGCAGCACGCTGAAGCTAATAATAACAAACGATCGGCGATGTGAGGAGGGATGGCGATGTAATTCGTACAAATGATAGTTCACGACTATCGGTCGACGAGGGTGGAAGCTCGTATCCATCGGAATGGCCCTAAAATTAGATCCCACCCTTGGCGCAGGTCCGAGTTCGACAAATTCGGTTAGCCGGATGAAAAATGAAGCGTTAGTATCGGCGGCCCTTTTGTCGGCCGCCCGGCGGTGAGATTAGCCGCTTTCGTTCAATTTCTTTCACGAGTCAGTCTTATTCCCCGCACGTGGTTCTAATCGCAAGATTCTCTGAGATTGCAGATTTCATTTACCGAAATTACTTCATTTCGATAAATTGCAAATATTCTACAATTACGTCTCAGCGCCGTATTTTTTATATTACGATAATCAGTTTTGACGAAAAGTCGACTCGAGGATTGCTTTACGAAAGACAAGCCCGTCGCGACTCTGCCGCGGATCAGATGTCAGTGCAGAAATAACTGTAAAAGAGGAGGTTTGTTCCTCGCGTAGCCCGAAGCGCTCGTCATATTATGTTTGCTTCTGGTGTTTGCGACTCCCCGTGCTCCGAACGACGATCTCGAATAAAGGGTGGCTCGACGGTAAGGCGGATAGATATCCGTATTTGTTTCTCGACTGCGCGAAATATTTAATGATCCGCGACATGCAATAAGCAATTAAGAGAAACATGTTATCCTTCGTCATAATTATATCTTTGAAAACTACGGACAAATAAATAATGAAATTTCAACGACTTGAATTTTATTTATTCTCGATATCGCTGGCAGCTCTCGAAACTCTCTGCTCTTTCCGCGCAGATATTCGGCGACAAAATCGAGCTTTACGGCAAACCGTGAACGACCTTAATTCCATTTAGGTGCGCTTTCCAAATCGTCGGCAGCATCTTTTCAATGGTGGAGACGAACGAATCGAACGGAACGAGTCGATGAAAGGGGAAGCGAAGCAGGAGGTGGCAGCATCGCCAAAAGCGTAACTCTGCCAAAGACAATATAAAAGTTGGGAGGGTCCCGCGGGATTGGAAGTCGTAAATATCATCTGCTAAATAAAGCTTCATCCTCGAGTACGACTCGCGCGATGGTGAAAACCCCTTTGCACCGCTCGCAGGAGGGGGACGGATAGAAGACAAAGACTCGTAACGCCGACTGACATTAAGGTATTGAAAGGAAGAAGGGCAGAGTGTACTAAACGGTGTCTCTGTTCGATCATTTACTTTTGCATTCATAATATATATATTTTTATCTCTAAATTCTATATTTCATAAAGAAAAAGATCTTATTAAATTTTCTTGATTTTCGTGTCATCAAATTTCACGTACAGATATAAAAATTCTCAAATCAGTGATTCGAAACATAAGAAGAAACATCTTCGCGTTGTCGTTTTGATCGCAACCATCCCATTATTTCAAGCTTCTACAAAAATCGCAAAATGATGTGTGCGTCTCAAAATTAAAATCTCCCCATCTCCGCGTAATCTCGAAATTTATTCTTCCGCATGGGAGTGTGTCGTCACGAGTTGCTCGAGGCCCTTCGAAAGCGTCGCGCGAACCATTAAGCAGAAGCGTTTGGCTAACCGAGACAAAAATCCGGCGGCGATATTTTTCTATTCCCCTTCCCGTGATAGCCGGTGGGAGTGAGGGAGAGGCGCGGGAGGATGGTTGAATTCCGTGCGTGCCA